CAAGGGCATGTACCTTGGTTGCAGGCACATCCCCAGTGGGAGATGTGCAGGAGGCAACCGATGGATGTTTCTCTCGTCGATGTTTCTAACTCTCTATCTCTCTCCCTTCCTCTCTGTAAAAAATCAATAAAATATATAAAAAAATAAAATTCTTGAGAAAGAAAAGCCGTTACGGGAAGCTGCTGTGATTAATCTAAGGGGCATTTGAGCTGAACCCGGAAGGATTTCTAACCATCTCTGCCCACTTCTAGGAATGGCCTGCAAGCGGCCTGCTGGGAGTGCTTTTGTCATTTTTTGGTTCCCAACAGCAAGGATCCAGCTTCGTCACTCATCCCACTAGAACAGCGGTTCTCAACCTGTGGTTCGCGACCCCTTTGGGGATTGAACGACCCTTTCACAGGGGTCGCCTAAGACCATCGGAAAACACATATATAATTACATACTGTTTTTGTGATGAATCACTATGCTTTAATTATGTTCAATTTGTAACAATGAAATTGGGGGTCACCACAACATGAGGAACTGTATTAAAGGGTCGCGGAATCAGGAAGGTTGAGAACCACTGCTCTAGAATGAAACCCCATGAGGCTCCCCGTGGTTCTGCGAAGTGATCAGCTCTGGCCCACCAGGTGTGGAAGCTGTGGAAATCCCGGGGGCCTCCTCCACCCTCTCCCGCCCGGGGCTGACCTGTGCTCTTGTCCAGGAAGTCCATGGACTCCTCGCTTGCGCTGAAGTGGCTGGACATGGCCTTCTTGTCGGGGTCCTGCTCCACGTCGGAGCCCGTGTGCACGGACGAGTTTGTACTCATGGGGGAGCGCGGCATGTCCGACAAGGAGATCCGGCGGCCGGTGCCCCCGCTCAGCATGGGCTTGCTCATCAGGATCTTGGGGGACGCCGTCATGTCGAAGTTGAGCTTGACCTTCTCCTGCTTGTCTATCTTGGCGGCACCAGCGCTCGGGTTGCTGGGGTCGAGCAGCATTTGGTACTGGCTGTTGGGCGTGTAGGGTGTCCTGAACGGAGAGTAATTAAAAACCCCAAACTTCCTGCGAATGTTCTCCACATAAACCTCCATCTCCTGCATTGCACTGTTGAAGATGCTTTTAGTCTTTTTCACAGAAAAAGGAATTTCTTTAGACATGAGGTAGCAATTATTTATTGGAACCCAGGCTCTAGGAGGGCAAGAGAGAGAGAGATTTTAAGTCGATTTTGGTCATTTCCAAGATTTTTATGCAACTTTTTAAAAACATTTACTTCATTGTGGTTAAGAACATTTAACAGGAGTTCTACCGTCTTAACCAACGTGTAAGTGTACAACACAGAATTGCTGGCTACAGGCACAAGGTTGTACAGCAAGCAGATCTCTAGAGCGTATTCATAGTGTGTAACTGGAACTTTATGCCCATTGACTAGTAATTCCCCATTTGCTCACCCCTAGCCCCTGGCAACCATGATGCCACCGATTCTATGAATCTGACATAGATTCCTCATAAAAATGGAATCATGCAGTGTTTGTCCTTATATGATTGGCTTATTTCACTTAGCATGTTGTCCTCCAGTTTCAGCCATGTTGTGGCATAATTTTTAAGGCTGAATAGTATTCCACAATGTATACATACAACATTTCCCTTATTCATTCATCAGTCAATGGAACATTCAGGTCGGTCTCAGAATTGTTTTTTCCTGAACACAAACCCAATTAGCCTAGTACGCTTGCCAAGATTCGTAAAGGCACATTCCTTTCCTTTTATAAATGATTTGGTTTGAATGGTTAATAAACAATCCACTTAACACACATAATGTCATCAGGACTGAACGTGAACATGAACTTAACAAAAACATTAAAAGCTTCAATAGACTTAGTCATTTTAATCCATAAAATAATAATAATAATAATAATAATGCCCCTTTGGCTTTGGGTTGGTAGAGAATAAGAAGACAGTCACTGCATCCTAGACCACACCTCCCAAGAGAAAATTACTCCCCGAGCTCACGATTTTGCACTCAAACAATGAAAAGTTTTCTCTTTTAAAATTGGGATTCTCTGGAGGAAGGGAGTGGGGGGAGGGCAGGGGGGGGGAGAGTCGTTAACTGGGGAAAGAGACATATGTAATACTTAAAACAATAAAAAAAAATTAAATGAATTTAAAAACCGGGGTTCTCCATGGAGCAAGGAGGGAACGTTGGAAAGCCATAGCCCTAAAAGGAGGTGCATGGCTTTGAACGAGAGATAGTTCGCATGAAAAATAACGAGAAACCAGCCCCTCACTTAGCCCTCAGGTGTGCGCCCTCCGCTTCCCAGGCGGGTTCCACCTCCCTACCGTCAACCCCCCCACACACACACCCGTGGGCTCTGCAGAGACTTCATGGGAACATGAGCTGCTTTCCTGGAATCAGTGACCCGAGTGACAGCAGGCAGGAGATGGGCACACAACCCCCCCGCCCTGGGGAAGGCAGAGCTGACACAGAAACATCCAAGCTGTAACTTGGGTCACATTTTATTCCCCAATCTCAACCGTTTGCAGCTGGGAATCTGGTGGGAGTGAGCTTTCCAAGGAGGCCTCTTGGCTTTCACAGACCATCCACCCAAGCCTGGCATCGCTGTAGAAAGCCAAGTCAACTGTGGGGAGGAATTAAACTCACGGCCAGTCTGATGCAAATACCACCCCGAGTGCTGTCGGAAGTGCCCCTGTAAGAGTCAGCCCCACACAGCCGAGCCTCCCACGGCTTCAAGAGAAACAAAATAGGAAATTCCACTATGTTTTACCCAAATTTTAATGGTTGGCATCTCGTTCCTATTTTTAAAAGAAAAAGCAGCCCAGGGGAAATACAGCACGTGCATGAGGCAGAATTCAGGGCATAGGCTGCCTGTTTGCAACGCTTGGCGGTGCTAGACTGCCACATCCACTAAACCTGACCACCCCAACAATATCTGCTCTGAGTGCTAGAAACGACAGCTTC